AAACAATCCAACCGGGGGACTGTTTGACTAGTCCACATGGCAGAGCCATCTAGGGAACGAGCCGTCCAACTGAGGGACTAACTCTCAGCCAGCACGTACAGCTGACACAGTCAAAGCTTGTACGCCTGAAATACCAGTCCCCTCAAGGATGTTCTGAGTTCTAATAACTTCAAAAGTATCCAATATCCGTAACCAAAATTCAGATCAGGGGAGGTATATAAATTAGTGCTTAACGCACTCCAAATAACATATCAAACATTACCTTTCCATAGTTCATATTAACCACCAAGTACCCCATGCATAGCCGCATGTAAATATAGTTTCTCAAAATTCAAATATCATAATAAGTTTTACGAAAACCTCGAAATCCCATTCGAGCGTATATAAATAATTAATAGACATAATAAAACAATATGCCATATTCCCATGAATAAAATCATACTGAGTTTCGAAAGAAAAGTCCACTCACAAGTAGTCCCACACAGCTTGACCCTTAGAGGGTCCCGCCTGCTGCGTATGCTGGGTCAGAGTACCTAATTCAGAATACGAAAATGCGATGAATATCAAGTGCTTCAAAACAGAACTTTAAAATAAAACCCTAGCTTCCCGGGAGTTCCTATATGTTTTACGAGGTCTAGGATACACGTCCTGTAAGTTTGGTCCGAAACGGACGGTTAGATCGCTCACGATCGCACGATTGGACTATTACCGAAACCCTCACCCTAGGGTTGGCATTTCCGGAGTATCCGGGACTCCGTTTTATGATCCGTCGAATCCTACACGATCCTAAGGGTATCTAAAGGAACATACTTCAATTTGAAAACGATCCAAAGGTTGGAACATATCGAACCTGAATAACGCACAATATGCGATAATCCGTTCGATAGTCAAACGACCTCGGAATCAAGATCCGCGAAATCCTACGCGCTCGCAACAACGTAAATATCACATTGGAATAGTTTGCAGCTCCACCACACTTGCCCACTCGCCGCCACACGCGCCGGCAGCAAACGGGTGTGCAGAGAAATTCCGGCGACGGAAAATCTCCAAATCACAAGTCACCCTCCCGGCTACAGATCCTACTCAACTAAGGGAGCACTTCATTCAACTACGGCCAAGCCCAAAACCACCGGGAACTGGCCAGAATTTCGAATTGAAAACCGGCCAAAACCTAATTCGAAAATAACTTCCAAAACCTCAAAATCGTTTCAATCCTAAGCAACAGGCAGCTAGAACATATAAAAAGAAGGAGAAACCTCACCTCAATCACCGGAAATGGACGGCTGAAGTGGCGACGCAACGATCAGAGAAATCCCGATTCGAACCAGGCGCAACCGTCGTCGATTCTTGAGTTTTCCGACGGGAAAAACCAGTAGGTCTTGACCGGGACGTCGAGACGAAGCCAATGGAACCGGTGCCGAGGGCTGGGGTGGCCAGATGTGGTGGTGGCGTGGATATTTCTGCTCGGGTGAACAGTGACGAGAGAGAGCTCGCGGGAGAGAGAGAACGCACGGGAGAGAGAGAGAAAGAATGAACTGAAAATGAAGAATCTGATTTTTTTTACAAATACCCTTTTTGAATTATTTACGATTTTGCCACCGAAAGAAATTTCATCGCCAAAACTTCGTTATAACTCCAATTCAAGCCTACCCCCTGTCTACTAATTCATCTCAGAACCACCTACGCAACCAAACCACTTGTAGTCTCAAAATTCTTCCGGACAAGGATGTAACACCCCGACTCCGTTATTTTCCTATTT